CCCAGCGCTGACTGACCTGTAACACTGATGTCGTAACCGAAATGAGCCCGCCGGAGGCCGCCATGAGGCAGCTCATCACCACCGTGAACGTGATCTCGCTGCTGTAGCCGGAGGCCGCGCCGGCGGCGTCCACCGCCAGAGCTCCTCCCCCTCCTGGCATGTTCAACGGCGTGCAGAGCTCTGGTTTGACTAAGAGGCGATTCTACAAGGCCGGGGCGGGAGACAGCTCAACGCTAGTGTCAGTTGGATGAGTACTTGTAGATGTTCTAGTAGCCACTGGCCACGGAGTCAACCATCCGTGCTTCGACTGACGGAAGAAGCCCAGCAATCCATTTCCATTTTCTAATTCTCTGGGTTTTAATTGATCCAGCTAGCAGCCGACGTCGCCCATATTCATTTTTCTTCAACCAGACTGCATGTGATCAGTATAGAGTACATAGTCTGAAAATGATGCAATGACAGCACCCTAGCGCCAGTAAAACTGCGTTGTCAATGTACCATTTTTATTTATTCCTAAAATATTAGCATAAGCAAACACTTTCAACAATTTGTACTTGCACCTTCATTTTCAGTTGTTATTTATTCCTAAAATTAAAAAAATATTACCTACCACAATTATCATTTAAAATATTGTACAATTAACAAAGCTAGTAAGGCGACTTCATCGATATGAGGCGTTTGTGGTGACTTAATCAATATCAAGATGTTGTGCCGGCTCAGTATCTCGAAGGTGCTCACAAATGCCGTGCCTATTTTGCCACAACACAGTATCTCGTGGGCGACTCAGAGAATATGTTAGGCCGAAAAATACGAGGGGAACTCTTGGTCCGAAGAGAGTAATATATTGTAGATGGTGTTGATTATTATTTTTAATATATATGTGTCTGGATAAGTTCACGTTTCGTATCCTGCAAAGTCAAATCTTGCAATTCAACTTGCATGACTATATTAACTAAACTTGCATGGTCAAATATCCGGATAAGTTCATGTGCTGGTTGGGCTTGTTGGGAGCTTGGGTGAAGACCTTGTCGTGGCCTTGGGTCTATCATCCACGATGGCGGCGGCTACAGGCGTCGTAGACCTTGGAGGCATTGTTGCGTCGCTACTGCATCCCTCCCACATGGATTCGGCTCCAGGGGGAAACCCTAGACCATGTGTTATTGAACTATTACAATGCCTTGTCGTTGTTTCCCCTCTCGAGGGCTTCGTCCTTGGAGCTGGGCATCGACAAGTGGGACTAGGGGGAGGCGTCGTTGTTGATGTCGAGGCTTTTGTGACAACGATGGCAGAGGCAAAGTCGGAGGTGTGACAATGGTTGCGGTAGTTGACTCTTCTCCGGCGTGTCTGTGGGATTTACCTCGGGTTGTTTTGTTGCGGTAAAGTTGAAGATGTGGCGGCGGGGCCCTGTGGCGACGGGACAGGTGGTAGGCCGCCCGTTCAGTAATCTTCTGCGGCGCCAACCGTGCATGGTTCTCCTTTTAGAGCTCTCCATCAGAGACGGAGATGCACTACCCTCCGTGCGCGTGGCTGGATATGGCACAAGTCTTCTTGTGCTTCCACACGGCCTCTATAGTGAGGGTTGGGTCGAAGTTCGTCTTCGACAAAGTCGGAGTCGCTTGCTCGGTGATTAGGGAGAGCAATGACCTGTTGGGGATGATGCCAGAGTGTATCTTGACGATGCCCTCTTTTTTAGGTGTGTGTGACGACAATGAAGCCGGAGTGTATCTTGACGAGGCTCTCCTTTTTTAGGTGTGTGGCGTATTATATTGTGCCACTCGGCGGTTTATGACGATTTTAGTCCGGTTTTCCGCTAATTAATTAAGCAACTCCTTTTTGCTTAACTAATAGACGACGGAAATCTTTTGCCTCCGTTTCAGGAATTTTTTTTGCATCCTCGGCTATCTTCACAATTCAACACAATTTGCACACTAAATAATCATAGACGAGCTGTACTGATGTCAGTTACGTTGACATTATCACAAATTAAGTTTATGACGAGTAATACAATAATTGATAGACAGGTTGATATAGACACATCCCACATGTGGAGTATATTATTTCCTCTACTTGTAAGCTCTACCGTATTTGTGGTACACCACATGCATCTTCTCTTTGAAAATGGGGAATTGGTACACCAGCGCACATGACTCTACTGACTTGGTCTGAGAATGACAAGAAGACACATCTTGATGCCATCATTGATTGCAGAGCACATATAAGTTTGAGATTCCACATTTCTGCATAGTTTAAACTTCAGACTACTGCAGTGTTTTGTGGATGATTTTGTACCATGTGTTTGGGTATATTATATAGTAAGTATATTACATGGATAGTCAACTTAGAGTTTTGAACTTGGGATAATCTCGAACAGGAACCATAACAGAGCGGCTATCTCCATCTTCAGTTGACGAGCGCTTAGAATTTTGCCACATTTCTGGATAGTTTGAACTTCGGATTATCGCAGTGCCTTGTAAGTGATTACTCCGTATGTGTTTGGATATATACAATAATAATAAAAGCACTGGCGCGCTTTGCTGTGCCGTTGGGCTGCTATGGTGATCAGTTGAAGTTAAGCTTGCTTCGCTTGCAAAATTACGACTATCTGAGCTGCTACCAATACCATTCATTTATTTTGGCAGCCGTTCCAGTAAAGAGAGAGAAACAGTATCGAGAATATAGTTCTTCTGAACAAGATTCAGTTGTATATTCTTGGTAAAGGAGAAGGAAAAGAAAAGATTCTTGCTGCTAGAGATAGAAACTGGAAGAAGAGAACAAAGTGGACAATCATGGTAAACACTTCCTCATTTATAAGTTCTATTAGTAGCAAAAATGTATCATGGAGAAATTCCTCCATCTAGCACAATTATTTGTGTGCTTCGACAGGTCAACGCGCAAGATGGAGATAAACCCAGGCTTCACTTCATATACATTAAATTTACCTAATATTCTCCAGAACCAGTATAACAGTTACCATCACCATTCCATTTTATTTTATTCTGATAGATGTCAAGATAACATATCATCTTGAAGAACCAGAGATTAGCACTCTTGATGCCAACAATTCACCTGAGGTGGTTGGTACACTATGCACATTGGTTGGGCATGTCAAGTTTGGCGGGGATGAGGTGGCGCTAGTTTCCTCCATTTAGAAGAACAATATTGTCGTCAGTTTCGCCACCATACCAACAAAAGACTAGAGATCCAATTGCCTTCTTTCTCTGCTTTACTATGAAAAGAAAAATCATATTGTGGCACATATCACGAACTGGATCCAGTGTCAAGGCAGTGCAAATTACTGGACTAACATGAGTGCTTATGAGATTGAAGCATGGCTGAATATTAACATGCATGAATTGATTGCATTAAGAATTGTAAGCACCACAACGAGAGATGGAAATCTCTTGATACAGTACGTGGTGGCAAGCTCCAAAATTGGAGAATCAACTCAAACAAAAACTCCAGCAGTACAAGCACTTTATACTTACTCCTGACATATGCAAAGCAACAAGACGAGCAGTAACATCAGCAGCACAGGGTGATCCGACGAGTCAAACACGCTCATTAGGTCATGCCACCATCGGCCCCTGTCAAGTGTGATGCATAACGACTCGACAGTCAGACACAAACCGCAAAAAGAAGCCTAGGACAAGAATCCTACCACTGATACTAGTAAAGACGATATGTGTCAGCCTTTCATTCATCAGTGGCATATCCACAAAAGAAACCTTCGTCACAACTGAGAAAGGAAAATATCTCTGGTATTAAGAAAGCTCTGCTTCAGGCACCAGTTATCACCCCCTGGGACGATAACATGATTTCCCTGACTTCGCTGTCAGAATTAAGGCACTCGCTCAAGAGCTCAACATGGAAGGGGTGGATCTTGAACAGATCTTTCGAGATCAGACCAAGTATGTCTGCGAGATCACCCAGGGCCGCAACCGCAGCCTTTGTCAAACTCTCATCCCTGACACATACATATATGATAAGGGGAAAAACACAATACCCGTATAACAAAAAGAAAGCAGCGAAAACGATGTGCACCTGCTTGGGTCTTTGTAGACAGCTTCAGTGAACTGAAATAGATGGCTGAGCTTTTGGGCCCTTCATACCCTGCAGTGCCGGAGTAAGCCTCAAATATTCCATGTCTCAGCTGGTTATGGTGAACAATCGTATCTTCGTTGCTCTAATCCAAAACAACGAGCTCGGCAGCTACTTGAAGCACTGGCATGGCATATTGCAGGTATTTCTCGACATTCTCGCCAATAGCAAGAGCTATGTCTCCAAAGCATGAGAAAGTTGGAGGTCTGACAGGCCGGTGAAGCATTGAACTTGCAAGATCCTTGAAAAGAACAAGCATAATGCAATCACATCACAGAAAGGCTGAATTTTATCTTCAACGGCACGGCAAATATCACCCATCACCCATACAGAAATGGAGCATATTTAGTATAGTTCTGCAAGCCTGCTTCACGAATGCCATAAGCAACTTCACGAATGGCAAGCATTGGTTTTTCATGTACAGCAGAACTGGGGCAAGCAAAGACACAGGGAAACAGAAACATCAACTGATCTCTGGGAAATTACGGACATCACATCAGAGTTGCTCTGTTTCTGGATGATGACCTGCAGTACACCACACAACAAAGCCTGTAGATCACTCTGCTTCTCCCTGTCACCAGGCAAGAGTATTTGGAGTTAAAATGTCAGGTTCAGTCTTTTCATGATCCCCTGACATAGCTGGCCTATAATGCTCGAAGTTTCAGCTATATTGCTAACTCTCATAACCTCATTCGACACTTCAAAAGCAAACGTGCAAAGCCTCAAATGGGTAGTACCAGCACGATCTGAAGCACAAAGGAGCACAGCGATGACATTAGGGAGATAGGGTGTAAGCAGAGATGAGCTTGACTCAGCATCTTCATAACCTTGGACAAAACAACATATGGATCCACAGACATTCTTGGCCACATTTGAAACATCTTGCTACTCTCCAGCAACAGTCATGATTGGTTTGCATTTGTTATAACTGGAATTCCACTGGCTGGAGAATGCAAAAGCTCAAACATCCATCGAAGGGTCCACGCGGTGGAGACTTTTACCTGGTTGTTTGGATCTTTCATTGAGTTGAACAAGAAATCAAGTCTAGCCTGCATCAGGGGGGTAAGCTTCTCAACAGAGGGACCTTCAAGGATAGAGCTAAATGCAAAAGTAGCTGCCTCGCGACAATGCCAATCCAGGTTTGTGATGTTAACCTTAATAAATGGCATCACAAGAGGGACAATTGCATCACCAACAGTTCTAGCGATGACGCCAAGGCACTTTGCACCACTCATGGAAATGTTCCGCACATTGTCAGCGTGCTCATGATAACCCTCTTGATTCAACAGAGTTTCGAGCAGCATTGGAACAAGTAAAGGGATGGCCTTTTCAATGAAGCATTAAATTACACTAGAGTTCGCATCATCTTCTTGGAGTTTAAACTCTTAATCACAAACAGTTCTCCATAACTTGATAGCTTGAACTGCAACTGGTTCCTCATCTCCTTTGACAGTGCTCGCAGTTCAAAAGCTGTATGCCTGATCTCCACATCTTAAGATACAACAGTATCACAAATTACTTTCACTATATAGCTCCTCCCCATAACGTTTGCAAAGTTGCTTTCAGCAAAATCAAGAGTGTTATATACTCCCTCCGTTCCCAAATACTTGTCTTTCTAGGCATTTCAAATGGACTCAACATACGGATGTATGTAGACATATTTTAAAGTGTAGATTCACTCATTTTGCGCCGTATGTAGTCACTTGTTGAAATCTCTAGAAAGACAAGTATTTAGGAACGGAGGGAGTAGAACTTTAACTGCTGCAAAGACAGACTTCAACACTTAGCTCTGCCTGATTCACTTCACTGAACAACAGCAGGCACCTGATCCTGCTCCAAGTGCTCAGGAGGAAACTCCTCACAGACATACCCCAGCACCTCTAGTGTTCCTTGCTGCACTGCAGCAGATGCGCCGTGCTGTGCCATGTTGCCCAGTAATTTGGCAATGAGGTCTCAATGGATGCAACCTTTGAAATGACTTGTGATGAGGCCTGCCTCGCATGAGGCATTAAAAATTCTAGTGTTCTCAACAATGACTCCTTAATCTTTGACTTTGACAGATGGATCCAGGGTGACCCTCTGTTGAATCAGCAGCTCTTTCTTTGCAGAATCCGTTGTGTCCAACGAATTCTTAAGGATAATACCAGCAACCATTCTAGACTCTGGTGGCCTTTCATCACTTGACATCTCTACTGATAGGGAGAGGAGAAAGTTGGGAAGATTCTGCTCCTGGAACAGCTTCAGATCGCCTTCCGCTACCGACCTAAGATTGCCGTCCATAGATTGGGCAGCTAGCAGAATCTGAGCTCTATCAGTAGTTGTAGTAACTGTGCAAACAAACATCAAGCAACATTCCTAAGGGCATCCATTAACTGAGCAGAATATGAGTTAGCAAGCAAAGTTCAGAAACAAAAATAATTGCCCACAAATAAATAAATAAAGGGCATCCGTGAGCACTCCTAAGGGCTAGTTTGACCTAGCTTAGTCTTAAAATGTAAGTGACTTCATCTGGATTAAGCTCAGCATTGATAAGATTAACCCTACTAGGTTGTGGAAGTGCTACTTGTATTCGGAAGTTCCCTTGTACTCGCTGTGCTTTCTCCAGTTCTCTTATCAATCAAACTCTCCTCATTTTATCTTATATACCTAAGAGAGTTATCCCCACTAACTTATTTATCTCAACATGCAAGCATGCCACATCACCATACAATTATGAATGGGATAATGCCCACCTCAACATGCCACCATGCATGAGAAAAAAAACAACCACCACATTCTACAATGCATGGGAATTTTTTTTTTCATTTTATTATTCTATTTATATTCAATAAATATTTTACAACTATACATAATCAAATATAGCAAGTCGTATGTATTTTTAATTTTGGTTCACATGTTATTAATCTATAAACATTTATATTCCACACAGTTAAATCTCATTGAAATATATTGCAACCGACTCCCGCAGCAACACGCGGGGTATCATCTAGTTTATTATTAAATTTACCAGCAAAAGTAGCGCCCCTGTCACTACAACAAAAAAAATATAACCACAAAAACAAACCAAAAACAGGGTAGCTCAAGATATATCACCAGAAGTACTAGTTTCCTGTCACTACAATAAAATATAGCATAGATTTTACTACCGAAAACAGGGTACAACATAAACTCTTCTGCTGACATAAGAAAGTTAGCCAAGTCCAGCAAGACAGGTAGGGAAGCTATGGATCAGCTGCTGCAGAAGGACCCTCGCCACCTTGATGAGCTTCAGTTTGTGCCCTTTTTTGTTTGTCGCCGTTCAGCGCATGACAAGGATCAAGCATACAAGCTTTCATCTCACTAACTTCTGAAGATAAGACTGAGAAGAGAACCTCCATTGTGTAAAGTCGCTTTTCAATTGCCTCAAATCCTTTCACAACTTTCTCGTGCAACCCCTCTATCAGTTTTGAAAGTTGAGAATTGCTGGCAACTGTTGAATCAGGATTAACTGGTTCAGGATTAACTGGTTCAGGATTAACTGGTTGCGGTGGCTGATGAGAATAGGACATGGGCTGCTGGTGCTGCACCTCTATAACTTCATGCTCAGCTGAGGCAGCACGTTGTTCACGATTCAAGCTTGCAAGGTGCAGGGAGTACTTCTTGAGGCAGCATTTGGTATCAGTGTTTGTAAGGTCACACTTCAGATGGCGAAGAAGACAAAATATAAGAGGTGCATATGGCAGTGCATGATTTACAGTGTCAATGGCCTCACACATCTCACTGAGGAGGAAATGAGCAATGTCAAACTGCTTTCCGTGGTAAATGGCATAGGCAAGCTTGAGAAGCATGGTGGTGCATCCACCTCGATTTCCTGATTTAGGAAAAATTGTATGTCGATTTATCCTTTGGATGAGATCAACTTCAGTTTTAAGATCTCGAACTAGACCAATGTCGGGATTAGGTACTCGAAAGAGAGAATAAACATCAAAATCATCCCATGTGTGCAAAACAAGGCTGCCAGCTCTAGGCTCAATCAGCAAGGCCTTTTCAAGATCTTCCTTGGTAGCAAAACAATGCTGTGAGCCTATCATGAAATGCATTTCCCTGCGATCAGGATCCACGTAAAGGGTGCCATAAAATTGTCTCACGACGTCTTCATTCCAAACCCAAGATGGATTGTTGCTGGTTAGACCTTTGAGACCAAGATCCTCATACTTAGTGGACAAATCAAAAGGGCAAGTTTCAGCATCAGCTATATCCGACCACTCCACAAATCTATGCTTAAACACTTTCTTCTCATGACAGAACTGATCATATAGCTCTTTTTGTCTGTTGTCCCAGAAATTGCAGTCAGGAGAGGTAGATCTAGCAGCAACATAAGGATTACGTTGCTTCTGCCTCTTAAGTTCAGGATACCTCAAATGGCCCGATGTCCTCCTCTTCCTCAGCTCCTTCCTTTCCCTATCCATGGCTTTATGCCTGTAAGTGTGGAAAAAAACGCCAAGACTAAGTACTCCAGGTAACAGTTACTCACTAGGTGGCATAACTTTAGAGCTATTGCACAGTAATTTGTCCTTACGAATTCAGCATTTATTTATGTACATCAAATCAAATATCTAGATGATGTGTATAGGATGAGGCGCGGAGCAATTGTCAGCATTGGATGCTAGATGGTTGACAAGAGGTTAATCATTGCATGACAGAAGTCGCAACTGGGAGCAACTAACAAAAAGGACCAAAACAGGGCATCGATGTAAGCTACTGTAGTTATGTGTCAGCACAAGAAAATAGAGATACCAGTCAAGTGAAAAAACAGAAATTTTGCTTGGATTTCAACTTTTATTAAACCAGGACATCATACATTGTTCTTCAGGGGAGCAATTTCCAATCAAGAACAAATGCAGACTGGAAAACCCTTGTCTTCAGAAGGGGATTTGAGTCCCCTTACCCTAAACCTAGGCCATGGTCCGATGGAACGGAAAAATATGGAGAAGGGGGCAGGGATGTACCAATCAGAAAGAACGTTGGCGACGGCTCGACCTTGGGGTGGCGACCAGAAACTCCAAGACGAGGGTATGAAGCCGCGGCCTTCGTACTACCAGCAGCTA